AAGACACCATTAAGAAAATGAAAAGACAAGCCACAGATTGGGAGAAAATATCTGCAAACCGTAATATGATAAAGGGCTTATGACTCAATAAAAAGGACCAACAACCCCATCAAAAGCTATTAAAGTGGGCAAAAGATTTGAATACACATCTCACCAAAAAGCAAATATATCTGGGCAGCAAACAAGCACATGAAAAAAATTCAACATGAATAGTTATTAGGGAAACACAAATTCAAACCACAATGAGATACCACTTCTCGCTCACTAGAATTGCTATAGTCAAAAAGATGATAACAAGTGTTGGTGAGGTTATGGAGAAACTGGAACCCTCATATACTGCTGAGGGGGATGTAAAATGGTACAGCCACTTCAGAAAACAGTTTGGCAGTTTCTCAAAAAGTTAAACCTAATAATTCACCAAAGTCATAAACAGAATGACCCATCAATTCTACTCTTATGTTATCTATCCAAGAGAAATGAAAACAAATGTCCACAAAAAAACCTTATGTACAAATGTTCACAGCAGCATTATTCATAATAGTCAAGAACTGGAAACAACTCAAATATCCATCAGTTTGAGTGAATAAACAAAGTGCAGAATATCCATACAATGAGATGCTATTTGGCAATAAAAAAGAACTCCTAATACATACCACAACACCAAGAACATTGTGCTAAGTGAAGGGAACTAGACATGAAAGATGCCCGATGTATTTCCATGAATTGTCCAGAAAAGGCAAACAACACAGAGGCACAAGGCTTAGTGGTTACCTGGGGCTGGGAGTGGGAGTGGGGAGTGTCTGCAAATAGGTAAAAGGGAACTTTTCAGGCCTCGTAAATGTTCTAAAATCCCACTGTGCTCAACTCTGTAAATTTGCTTTAAAAAATTTACAGCAACTCTGTAAATCTGCTTTAAAAAATCCCTGAAATGGTGAATTTTACATGTAAAATACATTTCAATAAAGCCATTTTTTAAAAAGTCACTATCATCAGATAAAATCTTTCCAAATCTCCACCCCTGAATAGAGAACCACAATGTTGCCTCCAGAGAAACGTGTGAACAGCCCTGCATCACCCGTCTAGCCTCATCACCTGGCCAACTTTCTCCACCATCCCAACCTCTGTGCGGCTGCCAAGCACACAGCCTATGGAGCCGGAAAGTTCGAGCTTCCAGCTCTACCACCAACTCGCTGTGACCGGGGGTTCCTTCACCTCCTTGAACCTGCTTCCTCACCTCTGCATGGGGATGAAATCTCCCAAGGTCAGCCTGGGGACCAGGTGACACAGTGCCCTGAAACCACTCAGCCCAGAGCAGAGAAGCCTTTCCCCGCTGGCCCAGGCCCATCGTCACCGTCACCTCATCTAAACAGCACTGTCTGACCAGCCCACCTGAGCAGGAAGCCCCATCGCTCTCCGCATCCTTTTTGTTTTCTTCATGGCACTTGCAATTCTCTCTTATTCTTCTGCCTCTTCTTTCTTGCCCTAGGTCAGTTCCCCCTCCTGGGATGAGGTTTCCATGAGGCAGGGCCCTGTGCATTGTCCCCTGTAGTCTCTGCCAGGCCAGGCCCAGTTCACAGTGAGCACTTGCTGAGGTGGCAGTGAAGGTACCCACACGTCGGGGACACCTGGCCTCTCTGGTGTGGGCACACGGGGAGCTGTCCCTTGTGTCCCTCGACCTCCTCCGAGATCTTCCCTTCAGCAGTGGTCCAGACTTGCCTCCCGTGGCAATGAATGATGGTAAAGGTGGTATAGCCCTGAGGGTGAAACGAGCCTGGGGACACAGCTAGAGCAGCAGCCTCGGGAAGTGACCTGGGAAGGGGAGCGGGAACCGAGTGGACGAAAGAGGCAAAGGCTGGAGAACAGCCAGGGGTCTGCATGTTGACATGCAACCAACATCAGCTGAGTCACCAAAGATGGCTGTGCAGGGGCAGAGGGGACAGTCACATACGGGATGTTGTGGCCATGCGTGTACCTCCTCTTACTGGAGGATGAGATGAAAAACACTGGTTGAAATGAAATCTTTACGTATTTCACACATGCTTGCTCTGAAAAACAGAGGTGAATATAACTGCAGCTTTTTGCATTAATTAAATTTCTTTTACCTTCCTCGGAATTAGGGCTTGAACTCACTATGTAAACTTATGCAAATGAGTGTGCAAACTAGCAAGGTCCTGGCATTTAATTTTAAGGAAACTAGAATGCTTTCCAGGACCAGGTCGGGGGGATTAAATACAAGAGGTCTTTAAGAATATTTAACTTTCGGACTTCCCTGGTGGCACAGTGGTTAAGAATCCGCCTGCCAATGCAGGGGTCACGGGTTCGATCCCTGGTCCGGGAAGATCCCACATGCCGCGGAGCAACTAAGCCCGTGTGCCACAACTACTGAGCCTGTGCTCTAGAGCCCACGAGCCACAACTACCGAAGCCAGTGCGCCTAGAGCCCATGCTCTGCATCAAGAGAAGCCACGGCAATGAGAAGTCCACGCACCGCAACGAACAATAGCCCCACTCTCCACAACTAGAGAAAGCCCGTACGCAGTAACAAAGACCCAACGCAGCCATACATAAATAAATAAATAAATTTATTTTTTTAAAAAAAAGAATATTTAAGTTTCTCTGAAGGAGCGGGCAGATGTTCTTCTTTGGCACACAACTCCTATACCTTCTATTAAATTAACTTCTCGTTTGGTTCAACCAATGATCTTTTCTAGTGATTTTCACTCACCTGCTTAAAGACAAGGTGGACTTCCCAACCTTCGAGTCACTTGGTTAACAGGAAAAACCTTACACCAAACACTGCACTGCCATCACCTCCTTTCTCTGGTCTCCCTCTCTCAAAGCAGGCACACGAGTGGATGGAAAGAAGGTTGGAAGGAAGGAAGGAAGGGAGTCTCAGAGCATGGGGCGGTGCCCCCAACTGTATGCCTCTAGACAAGTTCTTTATTCTCTCTGATGAGTTTGCCCAAAGCTCCCTCTAGTTGTAACCATCTCTGGTAGAACTAAGTATGGCACCAGCACCCTGTCAGGACAGCTAGAGGCTGTCACAGAGTTTTCACACTGCCTTGCATATCACTGGGAGCATGCAGGGGATGTTGGAGCCATGAGAAAAGGCTATTTCTTGTACCCAAAAAGATCTGGGTTAAAGTCCCAGAAGTAACACCTTGGACAAACCCCTTAACCTCTCTAAGCCTGATTCTCCATTTTAAAAGAGAATTTGTACTTTGCAGAACTGCTAAGAGAACTAGAAATAAAACGTGCCTGTCTGATATAAAACCCAAAAGAGATGATGCTCCTCTGTCCACTTAGAAGACGTTCCCACCATTGTAAAGCAATTATACTCCAATAAAGATGTTAAAAAAAAAAAAAAAAAAAGAAGACGACGTTCCCTTAGAAGACCCTGACTGACTGAACTTTCCAACACTCTCCAAAGCAGGTGACAACAGCGGGAGAGCGCCCACACAGAGCTTGGGGCATCTTTCTAAATTCTGATTCGGCTACTGCCTCTCACCTTCCAACGTGAGCGGAGCCATCTTCTCTCCATTTTGACTTTGCCCCAAGCCAGGTCAAGACTGGATAACACCTAGCAAGTACCAAATATGCTACGTAGGCATGCTTAGAATAGAGGCGCCCACAAAACACTCTGTACTTTTTCTAAACACGTGCACACACATCATCTTATCCAAGGCAGCACCTAGGATTATCACAGCCTGCCCCCGTTTTTTAAAAGATGTGGTGATTGAGACTCAGAAGATAAGTCGTTCACCCCACAGGTCACACAGCTAATGAGCAACTATCTAGAAGTCACACCTCCTGATGTCCATTTCTTTTTTTCTTTCTTTTTGGCCACAGCACGTGGCATGTGGAACTTCCCCAACCAGGCATCGAACCCCTGCCCCCTGCAGTGGAAGCACAGAGTCTTAACCACTGGACCGCCAGGGAAGTGCCCTGATGTTCTTTTCTGAGCCAGCTCCCTAATTAACTAATTCACCTATGCCCGGCTCTGTGCATTCCATGGACACCTGGTGCCTGCTTCCCTGGGGTTCGTCCATTTAATCAGTCAGCAATGGTTTACAAAGCACCCACTACGTGCAAGGCAGAGGTGCAGGAGCAAGCAGAGCACTCAATGAACAGTCCCTGGAGTCCCGCTGAGCGCAATCCCAGCTCGCCGGCTTGTCACCTACGTGACCCTGGATAAGTATTTCATGTCTCGGTGCCTCGCCTGTCCTCTATCCATAAAATGGGCGAACAGAATCCGACCTCTCAGAGAGCTGTTGAGAATTAAATGACAGGGTACCCGTCAAGGGTTTAGCACAACCCATGCCCCCCACTAAGCACTCAAACGTGAGCTGCTTTTATTCTTCCTCTAGGGTCTGCGGAAAGAGTCTGCAGTCACACAAGAGCCTTAGCCTCAAGCAGCTTACACTGCCGTCGGAAACACACAAAGAAGTAAAGCATCAAAAGAAGTTTCCAATGGAGATGAGCGAGCGCTACGACAAAAACCAGTGTGCGACCGCGGGGATGGGCAGGCACTCTGGACTGAATGGTCAGGAAGGGACCCTCACGTGAGACCTGAACTCCAAGAACGCAAGAGCGGATATAAGGCAAACTGGGGGCGCGAACACAACCCGTGCGGAGATCGCGAGCCGAGCAGGCCGGCACCTCGAGGGACAAGGAGGCCCTGAGGCCAGCGAACAGGGAGCGGGGGCTTGGGGGGACTGGCACGGGAGGTGGTCAGTCAGGTCAGCAGCGCGGCTCCGGAACCCAAGGGGGGGCGGCTCGTTGTCCTCGTACACGCTTGGGCGTCCGCGGGCGGCGAGGGCACAGGATCAAACGTCCAAGGCGCACCCGGGCAGGGGTCCAGGTAACGAGGCCCCGCCCCCCGGCCTCCGTCCGTCCTCCCACCCTGAGGAGGCCAGGCCTGCGGCGCCCTCCGAACTCGCGGCCCTCTCGCGGCGAGCGCCGGCAGACGCCTCCACGCCCGCCCGCCGGCCGCCCGCTCACCCGGATGCCCTGCAGCACCCGGACCCGCTCCTCCTGGTCCATCCCGAGGGACGCCCTTCGGCCCTCGCGGCTCTCGGCGATGCCCATGGCGGGAGGGAGCTCCGGTGCGCCGGCGTTTACGGGACCGGCGCCACCTGCCAACAAGGCCGCGCCCTATTGGCCGAAGCTCGAGGCTCAGCCAATCGTGGCGCTGGCCGCGCGGCATTGTGGGGCCTGTAGTCTCGCGGTGGCCGCCCACTGGCCCAGGAGCACGAGGCGCAGCGCCCAGACGGCGCGTGGCCAGATGGCCGGCCGAGGAGTGGAGCCGCGGTGACCTGGACACCACCACCGAGGAGGCCGCGCTGGGCGGGCGGAGGTGCTGCAGGTTTGCGGTGAAAAGACGGAGAGCGTGAAGGCGCTGAGGAAGACAGCGACCTCGCGGTGCCAGGAGAGAAGCTGGCGGGAGGCGCCCCTCCGGGGGGGAGGCGGTGGAGGAAGAACTTCGTGCAAAGGCCCTGAGGCAGCAGGAGAGCGCGGGCCCCGCGCGGGCCCCGAGTGCGGGAGGGTGCAGAGCAGACCCGGAGGCGGGCTGAAGGTCAGAGTGGAGAGGGCTTTGTCTGCGGGGCCAGAGCTTGTTCTAGAGGCCCGGGGAGGACAGTGAACGGCCCTCGGCGTTGAGGAGACACGCACCATTGATCCAGCGGC